AGTCCAGTGTAGATAATCTGCTGCCTGAACAATTATGCATGCCGTTCGCAGATGCTCAGTCATAATTTTCAGAAGTACTGGTGGTTATTAATAAAAAAAAAAAGAAAGTTGAAATTCCAAGTAGTAAAAAGCAAAACTGTAGATAAATCTCAATTTTTTTTTTAAAAAAAAAAAGTGGTTTTTTTTTTTTTTTTTTTTTACTATCAGCGTCCAGTTTACTAAGTGACGATTCACCATGGAAGGAAGTTTTATGCTGGAAAAAAGAGACTGTTGTGTTTCATGTGGGGAAGGGGCACCCTTGAGGAGTCCGCATGGACCTGCATTTAGGGGAAACTCTCAGTGATCGCAGTTAGAAGACTGTTGAACAGAGCTTTTACCTTTTGATTCCCTGGGAGCAAGTAGGTGGTGTTCCCCTCCAAAAGCAAACTAGAGAGCAGTGGCAGTCCAGTAGCTGTGCAATCCTATTTCTCCCCTAGCCCCTGGCCTCATATTGTGGATGTTCCTGGCTCTGCTCAGCTCTGCAACCTCTGCTCACCTAATTGACGTCAGGAGCATTCCCACCGCAGAGAGGGTTTCTTAGGAAAGGTGGTTTTGCAAGACCGGGTTGGAAAGCACCGCTCCGCAAGCATCGTGCTTAGCTTTGTGTACAGCGTGTTTTCTGCTTGGAGTTTGTTTCCTCCCACGGTCTGAGCAGCACAAAGCCTTTCAGTGGCAGCTCACAGTGCTGCACAGTGGGAGGCAGGCACTGGTGGGACTGTGGCATGGCAAAGGCCTTGGGCTGAATGGCCTCCACCACCATTTCCCCTCTGCGCCCTGTGTCTTCTTTGACGTGTTCTGAGTACATCGTGGGAAGAGCTCCGTGGGAGAAAACCAGGGAAAAACCGATAGCTGTAAGATTCCTGCCCCGTGTGTCATCTCCACCACGTGTTTGCAGTTGAGCAAACATAATCGGTCTGGCAGATAACCGAGTGCCTGCAAGGAAACAAGCCTCTCTTTGACCTATGACTGTATCCATGAGCAGAGTTAAGTGTATTTAGTTAGAGATCMGTCATGGATTTGTCACAGCTCCTCATCACGGAGCAATCTCTGTTTCACTTGTGGTGTCATCCAAGGGGAAGTGCCCGTGCCTCTCCTGCTGTGTCCTTCTGCAGAGCAGCCAGCCACGGATGTGCCCCCCAATCCGCCCTCCCTGCCAGCCCCGGGCAGGCGCGGTGGCAGCTCAGGGACAGGAGCCATCACTCCCATGGAATCTCTTCCCACCCCGCTGGAGCTGGCACAGGGAGCAGGGCAGAGTTAGAGTTCCCCCACTGCTTGCTTCCAGCAAGTCCTCTGCACTGCCCACACCACTGGGACAGAAGTCATGCCACATGTACAAAGCCAAACACTTTTCATACTGCAATTTGTTCTTTCCTCCGCCCCAGGCCTTTGTTAGCAAACAAGACGCCAGTCTTTGAGGGGACAGACAATGGTGTGGTTCAGCTCGTGCTGCGGACGCGCGCGGGAAATGGCGCAAGAGCTGAGTCGTCGCCTTCTTCCCCCCTGCCCCGCCCCTAAATTTTATTATTMTGGTTCAGTGACATTTATTTTGCTCTAAATGCCTGATTTCCTATAAAGCACAGCTGTTTTACAAAGAGACTAGTAAACAAAAATTGTATGTTAGGCAGAAATTCTTTGATCTGAAAATACGGATAACCCAAATTTGCCTTTCAGCCTTCACCAGCTTCACATTCAGTGACAATCACCAATAACATTCTTAGCCACTGGCCTTCTTCTCTTCAGCTGCAGTCTAGCTCACTAAGTTGATCAAGACATGCTCTTTGAATGARTTGAATACCATGTGCAGCCAATTTTGTATTAGGATAAAGGAAAGGGATTAAAGAAGAGCACTGGGGTGGGCTTGTGGTATAAGGAACTGATTGTGGCTGAGAATTTGTCATTGYTGAAGTTTGCATTGTGTTTCGAGAAGGAATTGGCTGTATATGTGGTCCAGCTCATCCGAGTTTTATAGCACCATTTTAAACACCAAACCTGTGGRGCTTTGTATGATTAAGCTCCTTAAGAGGATGCACTTACTGCTGACCTTCTGTGCACATCCTGTSTCTGCAGCGAATCCCCCTAAAAAACTGTCTAAACAGGGCCCGAGCAAGGCAGATACCCTGGGGATAAATAAAATTCCRTACATGATAAACAGTAAATACGGCTCTGCCTTAGTCATATGAACTGGTTTGGCTGAGTTTTCCTCCCCCAAGGCTATTAAGTTTAATGCCTCTGTGTGAAAACTCAGAGTTTCTATTAAATATGTCTGTATGTCTGATCCCAGGATGACACTCTGATATTCCAAAAATAGTTTAATAAATTGAAATTCCAAGATGTAGCATCATAAGCCTGTCACTTGAGTATCAAATCTGCCATGTTATGTAAAAAATATTGGTTATATAATGGGATTTTTATCAGTCTAGTGACATAAACGCAAATATTAAAGCATTATTAGTAAACCGACCTCTCTCTGACTTTGGATCTGTTATGCTGGAAGTTAGAGAAAAAGTAGCWTACGTATAAATGAGGATTTAGATGCTGTGGCTTCAGAGGTGTCTGACAGCACAGAGCTAGTCTGGGGTTTTTCTTCCAGTTAAATACATTTTAAATGGCCCTGAGAAAAGAAACTGGAGCGTGATAGAAATTTTGGGCAACCCCAAGGTTTCCTTTGCAATGGCCCAAACTGGAGCRCACAAACAAAGGTCTCCTGAGAGACCAGAGATGTCCCAAAGAACAATACTTTTAAGCTCTTGAGACACATGGAGAGAGAGCTGGGGAGCTATAGTCTATTTGCTGGAAAGCAGACAAAGGTCCTGAGCTAGCAGAAACTGGGACTCACTACGAGAGGACATATGGAAGAGCAGCAGGGATTTCCTGCAGGCAGAGCAATGTTCATGCATGCATCACAGCCAGTTGTCACCAGTGGTCAGATAAGAGTGCCAAGCCCTGGGGAAAGTCTGAATGGGCAGCAGCTGCTCAGGGAGCAGAGGGTTTGTGTGGAAGTCCTTCCTGCTGGGGAGCAGAAGCTTTGGAGCATGGGAGCGTGTCAATCGTGATGTTGAGTTACCTGGGAAAGAAAGGAGTTAAGTATGCTGTGCATGGAAGTAAGTGCATCATTTTATAACWGAGAAGCTGATTTTCCAGGTTGCACAACTTCTTGAAAACCCTAAGTAGGGTACTCTCTGAAATTGCACAGCCTGATGTTACTSACGGACAGCCATCTGTCCCCATGGGCTTTCAAATCAGCAGAGCATCACTTTTACTRAGTGCAGGCAGTCTGTGTGGTGGAGGGTTTAGTAAGTGAATTAGATGAACCTTCTGACTTTTCAGCCTGAGGTGAAAGCAGACTGGAAAAAATAGATGCAAGGTCAACTTCACAAGTTAATATAGGTGAATTAAATACTTTAATTTTGCATCTTTTCTGGGTTAGTTGAAGTGGGGCAGACAGTAAAAGGCTGATGTGCTCTTTCAGTGTCTCCAGTTCAAACAGGCAGTTTTCCCWGTAGCACTGGCAGCTCCCCACTCTGCTCTGTCACAGCACTTCAAGCATTAGGCACACCTTTATGGCTTGAATCTCACAATGCTCTGCTGAGCAGGGAACTCCTTCTATTATGGATAAGGAATTGGAATTCTTAGTGAAGGAGTAGAAGTGSTGGAGGGAAACCAGTGGGGAGGGGGCACTGAATGTGCTTCCCAGCAAATCTCAGTATCAGATATCTGAGTCCTGGGATGCAGAACTACCTGCCTGTGAAGAAGTGGGTCACATGTCCAAAGTAAAAAAAGCTACTACTGAAAGCTGTAGCACGGGCTGGTCAGGGTCCCAATACCTCCTGTCCCTGGCCTTTAACCAGAAATCAGTTCCTCTCAAAATCTATAGATGCAGATAACCTGAGTAAAGGATGACTTCTCTTGCTACCTTGAAGATCCTGTTCTGCAAACAGGGCTGTGCATGTGGGCTKCCTGCATTCATGTGAAGCTCCCCTGCTGCCTTCACTCGAGTGCTGCACAGAGCTCCAGGGCTTCCAAGCCCTCACAGTCCCAGCTGTGCTTTCAGCTTTCCCTGGCASTGAGCTACCTCAGTGCTAGCAAGTGCACACTGACAAAATGCTTAGTTTAAATCATGGCATAAAAGTGCTGTTACTGCYTGGAGGGCTGCTGGATTTTTTTTTTCTCTTGTACAGGATATGAAAAGGAAAAAAAAATAAATAAAAGAGAGATTTTTTTTGCCCTGTAAGATTAAACAATCATCATGGTTTTAAGGGCTTAATCTGCTGGCATGCAGACTGCTGGCTGATAAGTCTCCGAGTCTGAGTGTAATTGGATGCAGCATCGGATTCAGTTGTGTGGGCTTTCCAGGGGCTTTTTGTTTGTTTGTTCATTTTTTTAGCACACTGCAGAGTTGGAGAGATTTGTCGCTGGAAATGCCTTTGGGGGCGAAGCTGTAACACTGCGTGTCCCCCAGCCGGCATTTCAGCAACACCTCTCTGGAGACCCCCGCTCGGGGGCCACAGTGGGGGAGGCTGCTCGGTGCATGAATTCGTGCTATTGTTCGAGGCTCACATCTGCCTCAAGAAATTGCACGGCACAGGCCGTTACTTATTCAGATGCAGAAGCTCCTTCCGTCCCACAAGACGGCCCATTCAAGTCACATGCCAGAGGTCTCGGCAGAATGGGCTGCAGCTGCTTCAAATCTGCTGTCTAACATCAGAAGCAGTTGGACAAACTGTACCGTGCTGACTACAGTCAGGCTCCCCGGCGCCGAGGAAGACAGGGAAAAGATTTGGGATCCCAGCGCTATGTTCTCAGAGGATCTKTGGCTGGAAAATGAGAAAAACTGTGCTGTCGTTCACAAGTCGAAGCGAGGAAGGAAGCGCCAAGAGCTCCTGGCCGTGGCCCTGGGGGTGAAGGTGGGAGTCAAGGGGGCACTTTTGTGGCAACCTCTGAAACTCTTTGCCTATTCACAGATCACCTCCTTGGTCAGAAGAGCAGCCTTAACTCAGAACGACAACCACTTCAACTATGAAAAAGCACACAATTTTAAGGTAAGCACGGCTTGCTATTATTTTCAGCTAAAAAGTTCGGTTGAGATGCCTCGCATTTTATTTTTTATTGTGATAAGGTTTGTACTCATCTATTCATACTAGCTCTAGGAGAAGGATTGAAAAATGCATTTTTCTTTCTACTTTAAGTTCCATTAACKAAATTCTTAGGATGCTGTCACATAGGCACTTAATACAAGTAATGGTTTTGCTGTTCACTGCACTRCTTGTCTGGCAATTTAACTCTTTCACAGATTCAGTTTTCTTTTTTATTCTGAAACAAAGTGCTTCRTATTTATTGTCTATCTTAAGTGCATCTACTCTTAAATAAGAAAAAAAGCCCCTTTTCAAAATCCAGCTCGTATCAGAAGCCAGTAGTATTTTAGCAGCAAACATATTGGACCATTTCTGCTTTCAGAAGAAGTTGGGGGAGCTCGGGTGCTTCTAACAATAAAGCAAAGCACAGCGGTGGGTATTGTCTCCCAGCTTTTGTTCCCCCACCATATGCTAAGGAAATGCCCTCAGAGTCCCACTGAGCTGTAGGGTCTGAGCTTGTGTTTGGTTGTCAAACTGAAACAAATCGCTGGACAAACACARGGGCATTTAAATGGATCATCCATTTACCGTCTGTATATGCAAAATCAGATTCTTGAGGATTCTTTTCCCGAGTGCTGTCTCTGGCAGACTGCAGCAGGGAAGTGACTCAGCTTTGGAAACCGACCTTCCAGGCGGTTTGTATTAAAATATTTTGCCAAAAGGACTGTGCTGGTTTCCGMGCATGCCAGCCAGTTACCGTATCTAATGCTGTCAAATTGTGTTTTGATGCTTATCGGGATAAGCATTGAGGATAAGAGGCAGTAACAAGACAAGAAAGGAATGTATCTCCACTTTGAAACATCGGTTTAGTTAATGCTCCTTGAGGATGCTGATCTGGGTCACTGTCAGAATAGTTCAACTCATTAGCAGAACAAGAATTTTCTGATGTTCATCTAGGGCCTGTCAAAAAAGGAGAAGCAGTGATCAAAATCATTTCACTTAGCAAAAAAGTTTCACTTCTTATTTTTCTACATAGCCTGCTGTGCAGACATTGCTAACCTCTGCAGTGCTTCTGCTGTAGTTGGCAAATCGATAATTTAATATTAGTGACCAAAGCAAATAATAGYATCCCTTTTATCATTCCCCTTCCTTGACCCAGTCTACAGAAAAGTCAATATTTATCTCTGTGATCCGCACTGAAGGAAATAGGGGAAATACTCTGTTTTCTTGCTTGATTAAGCCAGCTTTCATTCTTCCTGGGTTTTGCCCTCATTATCATTTTAATATCAAAACTATTTTAGTTTAACTAGAAAATATTTTCTCATGGCTGAGACTACTTTCCTCTTTGACCCATGCATTCTTTCCTCTTCAAAATTTCCCTTGTTCTGGCTTTGATTTCTAATTGGACCTGTGCCCAGTTAACTTTGCGTTTGCACAGTCTAGCTGTTGTACAGTTTCTGTTCCTTTCTGTTTCAAAAGAGTCATRGTTTAACTGGAAAACCACATGATTAAAATAGATATGTATTCAAAGACTTGACAGCAGAAAATGATTGTTCCATATTTGTAAAGGCAATAACAGACCTTAGGGAACAAACATTTTTAAAATAATTGTCCAGAAAGGTCAATCAAAAGTGTTATATTTGCTTAATGGACAAATATGTTCACTATGCAAATCCATTTCATTTTCCAAAGGAATATATTAGAACATGTCTAGCTGTTGAACAAAAAATGTGGATAGCATACCCAGAATAGAATATTTAGATTTAAAACATGGCTCGAGGCTAAAATATATTTAATATATTCTGTATTTAATATATTCTGTATTCATTACATAAAAGGGTTAAGAAATTATTTTCAAAAGAAAGAATGGCTTTATGGGTCTTAGGGCTAAATGCTTTATGACTTTTGACAGCGCTCAGGCTATGATGATATAGGATTTATCTGAAGGACAATGCTATTTTGYAGACATTCAAGAAGTTGTCTTCCCCATTTTTGAGTGAATACTGATGTGTATTATATCATTCATCTCAGTTTCTAGGGATAAAGGTTATGTGTCACAGTGTCCCTCATAATCTTGTCATGGGCAATTCTTGAACCTACAGGGACTCTTTAGCTCTTGTCCTTTAGCGGTGAGGAATCTTAAAAATGAAAGGCACATTTTTAGTGAAGCTGATGGGATTTTTGTAGATCTTACTTCAAGAGAGAAGAAACAAAAGGAAAAAATAGACACAAGGCACAAATCCAGAGCAAGGACAGCTCTCCCTCAATCCTTGCCAAGCTAAAACACAAATTAGAAAGCGTTGCTGAAGTTTGGAGCATGAGGGTACAGTTTATGCACTCCTGAGTATCCATGCTTTTTCATTCAACCTCTCGTCCAAATTTCAGGACATGGAAGGCAAGTGAACAAAAAAAGATTTAGGATACAGGCTGATTTGTTAAGCTGGGTTCATCCTGAGCACACCACACAATCACATGGATTTAGGTTTGGAGCTGGCGTCTGGCTGGCGGGACAACTTTGCAGAAGCCAGTGTAGACATACCACAACTCAGGAAAGAGAATAAATCTCTGAAGCCTTGTTTAAAAAAACACAGAGGTATTTCTCCAGCTATGTGGGCGTCAGCCTAACTGGATCCCACAGTTCTCTTGCATCTTGTTCCAGGTCGGATCCAGCAGCCTCTCTCGGATGTGTTTTACCTGCCAACTTCAGTGGGGTCYCAGCTGGTGCTGAGGTCAACCTCGTGCATGAGGGCAGAGTGGAGTTTGAGGATGCTCCATGTTTTTTGTTCTAGGATGGGAATTCATGAGAGGGCTTCTGTGCTGCTTTAAGTGAGGAAATACCACTGAATAATGTGTGTTTACCACAATACTGTGCCTGTTTGCCACCATAGCGTGGGCAAATCCCACTTGCAGGCGGGCTAGTGGAGCAAAGGCAGCTAAACACAGGCAAGTCAAGAGATCTGCTGGGAGAGAGAAGGCTCAGGGATTAATTTCTCCTTGTGTGAAGCACTGCAGATAATACTGCTTCTGGGAGACAAAGGGTTTTGGGGGAGACGTTTTTTACAGATATCACCAAGATTATGTGTATTCATTTAAGCAAAAATAACACAGAGTCAGCTTTTCTTCCCTGCAAATGGCTCAGGTTCAGCAGGAGTCCATAAAAGACTATAAATGTGACTGTATTCAGGCAGAAGCCTGAAAAAACTTATTCTCTTAGAAGACAAATAGAAAAGCCATCAGATCCAGTCACATAAAACCAAAATTGTCTGAGAAGCAACACTGTGTAGTGTTAATTTAAAAAAAAAATTCTATTCAATAATTWTTTTTTTGTTCATTTCTGCAATATTGCTTACAGCATTATTTTGTTTTGCCCCTGTACTGGCATTCCTTAACTTTGGTCTCAGTTTTCCCCTCTGTSAAGACGACTCAGACACAAACCAGAGGTGAATGAGGGTAGCACCTGCAGGGGAAATGCTGCCATTTGAAAKCAAGGGCACCAGAGGGGAGAAGGGCAAAGGGAACAGGAAGGCAACAGGAAGACACATGCAGTGTAGTGTTGTGTGAGATTGTCCAGCAGAGAAGAGACAGTGAATGTGAGAAACGACTTTTTGGAAGAGGATGAAAGACTGAACAAGAAAAGTAGAGTGTATAGTCTGAAACATCATGGGTTTGGCTTATTTTAAGGAATAGTTCCCTACAAATTATTTTTTAAAGTTCAACTTATCTGTCAACTGTAGCCCAGGCAGCTCAAGTCTATGTTGAGTGTACACAGAGAAGTCTACTGAGACTTCAGGATAGAGTAGGAGCCAGCAATAAATAGTTTTGGATCATAGTTCCAAAAAATCTAAGCCCAGTCCATTTGTAATAGTAAGGTTACAAAGGATGGGGCAAAAACTAAAACTCCATCTCAAAAAATCTAAGATCTGCTGTTGCCTCTCCTTGTTTAAAACAGAGATGAGGCCAATCTTGCAGGCAAAATTCCCATTTACCATTCAAAAACGTTGTGTTCCTAAGAACAGACTTCCTTCATTAGTTCTTAAAAAATAATGACAGGCCGTAAGAAACTTGGTTCAAAACTTCATCTACTGCATCTTATGGGATTTTTTGCACCTTCATCTAGAAACTTTAGCAGTTCCCTTTTTTTGAGTTAATTTCCTTGCTTCAGCYTGGCCAGAAACCACCAAGACTAGCTTTTCACAGGGTATTTCAGCTGGAGACTTGCCATTTGAGGCAAAATGCGGATCCGTGAAAAATTGAAGTGAATGAATAAAGAGAACTCAACCTTTGAGGGCCACCAAGCTGAATGGAACATGGGAAGGCTGCGCTGTCAGCAYTTCTCAATTGGAGCCCGCAGTCAGCATTGATGACTTTCCAATTAATGGCAGGAAAGATCAAGGAATAATCAGCCACCATTTTCAAAATAAGCTGCAGCGAGATCGGCTGAAATAAGCTTTATGTAAAGTGAGCAAGTAGGCCCCAAATATCCTAGCAACTGCAATGGACTTTATTTGTGAAATACTGCATTTTTAAAAGCCCTGGCTGAGTTTTTGCAACCCCTTCTAACAAGATTAGCTTTTGTGAAATGCTGCAAAGCAGAAGACACAGTTAGCTATCTTCCCACAGCAGATGATTTTCACCCACAATTAAGTGCAGGTGCTGACCTACTAATTATGTGGCTTTCAGTCTAAAAATGATAAAGATGCAGGCATAATTAGTTTTGTCTGTAGTTTTGTATCCACTGAAGCTCACACAAMGCATATGACTGAAGCTCAGGTCATCAGCTGTTACATACAGCCATATASCCCCAAGTGAAGACATGTCTGAATGAAATTCATGCTACCCACTCTGCAAACTAAAATAAAATTAAATGAGAAAGAAGTATGGGGCTATATCTATTAATATATCTGTCTTAAATTTTATTGCAAAGTCTTATTTCACAAAGATACAAGTTTTTCTGAGAGGTAAAATATCGTTTCAAAAAAAGTCAAACATTCCAGTTTTGACCTTTCACTGTCAAAAGGGAGGAAGAATTACTATTGCTTTAAAGTTTATTAACACAATTATTTGTCTGGGAGTAGTTGGTCAGGAGCCATTTGCAGTCAGGCTCACATTTTTATCTCAAAATCAGGAAGAGGGTTGTGTATTAAAAGCACAGGATTTCATCTTTCTGGACTCRAGAGTACAGGCTTGTGTAGATGTGATCCTGCAGACAAATGGGGCAAAAACATTAGCAAGCCAAATGCTTGGCCTAAAACKTTACAGTTTATCTGAAAAAGGGCAATGACTGTTTTTTTCACTCTATGAAAAAGCAAAGAGCAGCTTTTGGTATCCCAGGGTGGAAGTGGCCTTTCATCCATCCACCCAATGGATAAACAAGGGCAGAGAGAAGGAAAGGATGCATTAACTTCCAGAGTGTGCATGATTTATGTTTTGTTAAGCTCAATTAAGTCTCTGGCCAGAACTAGCTCACACCATGCCCATTCACATGGGCATAGACCTCACTGTTTACTCTTCATTTCAATGAAAATTAAATGCTTACTTTACCAGAATACACATCTCAAATGAAAAGATCTCTGCTGTGGCCTTTGGAAAAGCAGTGGCGGAAGCAGCAGTGGTGTGCAAAACGAGGCTGGGGAGCTGTGGGCTCTGTCAGCACACAAATCATTTTATTCTTCCTTATTTACTCGTCTGTGAACTGTAGCAAAATGAAGTTTGGTCCGCTGAAAAAGAGTCTRTTGACATCTTTTCCCTATGTGAGTTCAAATTACTTACTCAAGTGGGGCAGGGTGCTTTTATCTACAGTTCTTTGGATTATTAGTTTTACATTTTTTCTCCTGGTTTCCTCCCCTCTGCTATTGCTAGAATGTCAGCAGGCAAGAATTATTTGTTTTCTGTGTCATCCACCGCCTGGTTCTCTGCTATGTTAAGCCTATTGAATGATAAACTCCAAGATCAAAGCAAATTTCTGTTCCCATGGTTTATTTCATCTAGACTTTGGAAGGATGTGGGCACTATGTGCTAAAGATTTACTCCTACTGAGTCTTCTGTTGTTTATCCATTTCAGTTGTTCCATCTGTCAGACCATCTGCCTCCCAGTGACCCCATTTCTTTCCCCCACCCCCATTTGTGTTACAGGTCCATACGTTTCGAGGTCCGCACTGGTGTGAATACTGCGCCAACTTCATGTGGGGTCTCATCGCTCAGGGAGTGAGGTGTTCAGGTAGCTCTACAAAATTTTCTGTCATTCTCTCTACATGCTCAGACATCTGCCCCACCCCAGCCTGCACTCCCTGCAGGAGTGGGGGGTGGGATTTCTCTAAAGAACAAAGCAGGAAATCCTTCCACAGAAGTTGGAGCATTGTCATTTGCCTCATTAGCTGGTTTAGAAGTGCAGCCATCAGCCCTTGGTTGCTGAGGGTGACATTCTCATGGTAGGACCTTGGTTCTGCCTCTGCCTGTGCCTGCTGCATACATTGAAACTTGTTCTTTCTAATTAAGTTATCCCTGATGTTTTTATGCCTTCGGAAGCAAGCACTGGAAATGGCAAAGCCAGACAGCAGCCAGGCTCCATAACTCCTCTTTTTGCTACCAACTGCTGGGAAGTGCCCTTGTCTGCTAAAAAGACTGCCACCTGTTTCCCATAAAAATACCATGCATTGCTGCAAGCCTGAAGTATCCCACCTCAAGATAAAAACAAAAAATATAACCTTCATTTCCAAGAAGGATTAGTTTTCTGGTGCCTCTATTGGTACTTGAATAGCGCCTTAATTATTTTAAATTTATTTGTTCTTTTGTGAAAACAAATTATTTTGGAAAAATTAAATGATCATCACACCACATGCTTTTGGATTCAGCAAGTGAATTAGTGTTTGGTGCATTACAAATGGATTTTAGTAACTTCTTTTTCCAGATCCGCAATCACTTCCAAAAGTTACTTGTCTTACCTCTCCCTGCCCTGACCTCCAGGCATTCCTGATCTCAGACTGGCACCAAACACATCCAACCCTGACATCTGCCTTTCATAGATAGAGGAGGTGGTTTTTACCTAAAATTAATTTAGACCAGTTTGAAGGATCAAAATACCTTTCGCAAATTTAATTTGTGACAGTTTTTATAAGTGCAGTCTCAGCTACTGCTACATCTTGTCTGTTTGTCAATGAATAAGGRTAACACAATATGAGAAGGACATTAAAAAAGAGGAGTAGTAGTTTGCTTTTCAAGCTATTTGATTTTAAACACAAGCGTGCAAAGCCTGACCTCACTAGTGCATAGCACTGTATTTGTTCACATACATAAAATAYTAAACTWAGGAAAARGCATATTTATTTAGTATGAAACATAATACTCTCCCTCATAAAATTACCAACATATAACTCTAAGTARAGARATGAATTTAGATTTAACTTCACACRCTTGGAGAACAGCACTGAACASAATGCAGGGAGGATCCTAACTGCAGTTGCTTATATTTGTGTAGATGTCACAGAACAATAATGTATTATGCACAAATAACTGTATGGAGAAACACAAAAACCTACCCAATTTTGTTAAATGTTTAGGTGTGCTTAAGATTTTGCTTGATTAATATTTTATAGACTATAATATTGAAACATGCTGCAAGTAAGCAGCGTTGGCATTTTTAATAGTTTTAATAATTGAATAGTTAAATTATCTGAAAGGGTGCCATCAATGATGGGCATGACTGGGAAGGCATTAAAACAAGGATCAGAGTTATGTAAGATAATGYAACTCACGGTGGTGGTGTTTGCTTTACTGAAACTTACAAATTCATTTGGCTGAGCACTTGAATCTATTAGAAAAATTCAGTTTGTGGAGGTGAAGCAGTGATGTTTAACAGAAACCCCCCCGTGCAACTGAGAGTAGTATTTGGCTCTGGAGTAAGACACCAAAAACTATTTGTAAAATGAATCACTATTTTACATCATGCCTTTCACAGCATTTTATCTGCCTAAGCTGACCTGCAGACTAAACACAGGGGACACTTTAGTCACCAGTGAAGTGATGAGCAAGGGATAGGAATCTGCTGATGTGGAGAGTGAGCCAAAATGTGACACCACAGGAATGTGGAAGGGAGAGTGAGGCACACTGAGTCACAGCACTGTCCCACTTGGAGTGCTCAGGTGAATCTCAGGTTCTTCAACCATGACCAGTGCTAAGCCACAAGRCAACCAGCAGAAGACAGTCATTTCTGTGACAATTATATTTAAGGTTAATCTAAAATACCCAGAAATTAAGTCTCACATGTTTAAAGGCAACACCTTGAGCCATGTGTCCAGTGATGAATGAATCCAGACTGCAGCAGCAGTCTCCTACAGCTCCAAGAAGTGTAAGGGAAATCCAGAATTTTTTAATGTTTTAACAACCCTGCCAAAGTTTACTTTTCCCACTGTGCAATTTTTACACATTTTCTTGCTCATCTTTCTTATCTCCACACTATTCTATCTTTCCTGACTGATGGGGAAATTGTGCTCCTTGCTTGATGTGGACCAGGRAAACAAATTGTTAGACAAGACCTATCAAGACTAGTACTGATTAATTAACTAACCTGGCTAACTCCACTTGCAGACTGTGGGTTGAACGTGCACAAGCAGTGCTCCAAATATGTGCCCAACGACTGCCAGCCAGACCTCAAGAGGATAAAGAGAGTCTACTGCTGCGATCTCACCACGCTGGTGAAGGCCCACAACACCCAGAGGCCCATGGTGGTGGATTCCTGCATTCGGGAGATCGAAGCAAGAGGTTTGTGTGCTTGGGAGAGCAGCAGACACAAGGAAATGAGGGTGACTGGAATTATATGCTAAGCTGGAACAGGGGGCTGTGCTCATGGTCACTGAGGATGGGATGAGAAAAGGGGTTTTTTGTGTAAGCGATACATTGCTTTGCATTAGCTAGTAAAATTAAATCATGGCATTTCTTAATGCAGTTCCCTGAAATGCTTTCTGAAAACATGTCAAAACATGTATTAGGTTACACTTCTGAAAGGGGTGAACTTTAAAGTGATCTTTTAAGTCCATGTTTATGTGTCTTTTCTCATTACTTTATTTTCACGTGCCTAGGGATGCATCCAATTGCAGAGTAATCAGTTTAAATCAAATCCATTATTAATAACCTTTATGGATGTTGTGGGCAGGGGAGCACAAGTGACTGGAAGTGACTCAGACAAGTGAGGTCAGAGGCTGTGGTGTTTTGTGGTAGGACACACTGCTCAGGGTTTCTCATGATGCTCAGTCACTGACTGATGGATCCCACGGCACAGGCAGCGTGTCACAGCCAAAATTCAAGCTTGTGACAGGTTTTTGATAAACAGATGTGTGCCAGATTGAAGGAAAAACATATCCCCTTCAGTAATCATATATCCCCTCCGTAATAATCATGTACTTTTCCTTTGGACGTTGTGTGTTTTGTGCTGCCCAATAAGCCAAATTTTCCTGTTAGTCACAGCTTCAGCAAAGGAATCTAATAATGTTGAATTCATGGCATGCCAGTAATCTGCATAGCAACACACTGATACTAGCCATAGGGATTTCAAGCCCACGCATCATCTACTGAATTGAATCAAAGACTTACTAGTAAATCCCCTRCGCTGCTCTGTAAAGCTCTACCAGGATTATATCATCATTGCAGGGACAAATGGAAAGAATAGTACAGACTAAGACAGAAGAGCTTTACTCTGATGATATAGCAGGAAGCTACATTGCATTTGAGATCTAATCACTTACTTGCACATTTATTGATTAAGATAAAATCTGCTGCCTGCTCTCTGTTYTTTCAGCATCTTTGTATTTCTTTTCTTAATTGCCATAGAACTATGAAAKATTCTGATTTTGTTCTTAAGAAAACAAAGAATATTGGAACTTCTAAGTAGGTTAGCACAATGCATAGCTACAATAAGGGATTTTAGGATTGAAATAAATGATGTGTGTGTAACTTGGCCTGCTCTGCTGAGTTGCCCTGCATTTCATGTTTGTGTGGTGCAACAGGGGAAGAGTTGTGCAAGTGAGCAGATCTCTTGTGGTGAAAGAACTGTAGAAAGGATGTACTGATGTGGGGAAGAACTGTATCCATCACATCCATCAGCTGTGGATAAGCTGACAGCAAAACAAGAAAGAATTGTGCTCATAGGGAAAGGCAGACTTTTACTCCTATTGCAATTTATCATCAGGCAACTGATAAAAGGAAGGGAGACCTCTAAAGCTTTATTAATTATAGCCAAATCCAGGAAAATCTCCTACATAAAATGAATAAATCATAATAGCATCACATGCCTCACCATTAGCAAATTGCAGTATTTTCCTCTAACATAATCAAATAAACCATGTGCCTAACAAAATCAGAAAGTATAAATTCTAAAATGTTTTAATCCTTTAAAAAAAACATTTTAACATCATCTTGATATTTCTTTAACTGCTCCAGTTTCGCATTACAGRTAACATTTTGCTATGCTTAGTTGGTCTGTTGTTCTTCCTTTATTGTTCTTAAACCTAAATATCTGTTGGTTAGTGAAGCTWACAAGAACTTTTGTTTCAGGTTTAAAGTCCGAGGGCCTCTACAGAGTCTCAGGCTTCACTGAGCACATTGAAGATGTGAAAATGGCCTTTGATCGAGGTACACCATTTTTTAATCTTGTACMGTTTTAATCTAAGCTTTCAATCCTAGGACATTTCAGATCTTTYGGAGTTTATATATGTGCCATGGTAATGGAACTGACATATAGACAGAGTGTAACCTGTCTTATCTGATTTAAAAGTGATTTGTAGTCCTTTTCACAAGAAGAAATCATGTTTCATAGTTGGAAGGAATTAATAAAAGTACTGGTGTGTGGAAGCCTGAGTGGGGAACGGGATGGTGCTCAACCTAGCAGCACAGCCTAGGCTCCTAGCTGAAGTCCGATTCTAGATGGTACCAGGGGAAAGTTGTTAGTCCTGTCTCAGTGCTTTACAATACAAGAATCTATTTATGAGTTTGAGGACCAGCAACTCCAACTGGGAAGTCCTTCTGCATGTAGCCTTGTAGAAAAACTCTGCTCCACTGTGCACGTGTCTGCATCTGCACAGTGGATGAGAGGGGCATTGAGGAGATTGKTTGTACAGCATATTGAAAAACTGACAATTAAAACACTGGCTAATTAGCATCCCTGTGGCATTGAGCTGATTGTGTTGTTTCTGCCTGTGCACGCAATCTTTGCACATAGGACTAACTTTGTGTAAGTAAGCACAGGGTAGGGCCTTCACTAAAAGGAAATACTTTTGCAARTAYATTTGAGAAGTTACWTRGATATTCYTCTCCCATAAATAGTGGTTTCMTTCCTACAYAAWTTTTTCAGRTWTTGCCTCTGCTATGTTTGGGAATAGGGTCAGACACAGCCTCGTGATCACATTCCATGGGTACAAGGCTGGTCCAGGTCAAATCAGAAAGACAGCCTGGGGTCAGAATAGTGACCAGAAGGGTGCCCGGCCTCACACCAGCACAGTGCAGCTGGAGACAGCTATGAGGTCACTCAGGAAGGGGYCCATGGGCAGGAGGTGTGGGGGCTTCAGGGGAGGCTGCTGAGGCCAGCAGGATCTGTCAGTGGCACATCTTACACTTACTGTGCCTGTGCACTTCATGTTTGRAGGCACTTTGTCATGCAGACAGCTCTGTAAAGAAAGTCCAGCTAGGATTTTCCAAATTGCCTGTTTTCATGCTGAAATATCCTTTAAGAAATAACACATATTTAAAATACATTGGATACTGCAGTTGTGAACATGTGCACATGCACACAGAGGTCAGCCATTCTTGGGGCCAGAGGGATGCACAGTGATATGACTGCTGTCGTGGTGAGACAGTGCTCCAGATGTGCCATAAAATACAATGCTGCTGGCAGGATCGCTGTCCTCACACATCCCATTCTGCTCCCTGCAGGTACATCTGGCCTGGAAAACCCTTTGGTCTGTGTCTTAGTTCTCCTCTAAGTGTACCAAACCAAATGAAACCTAGAAAGAGAGGCACAGATGAGAGAGGGAAKAGCAAGAAGAAAGCAGATTTAAATTTATGTCTGAGCATGATTTCAGCAGTGCAGCAGCTGCAGTTGTTTTGCAAATGCTTTGAACCACTTCAGTTTATTGCCTATTTATTAACTATACACCCAGCATAATTGGTGGCAATGCACACTTGAATCAGACGCATAGCAAGGAAGAAAGTGTGATTTACTGGCAAAGCCAGCAGCACCTAGAAACAGGAAGAGTAARGTGACTAGCAGTATTGGATTTCCAAAGGAAAAAATCACGGATAAACATGGAAGCAGAGAAAGCAAGAGTAGGGTTTGTATACAAAGGCTGTGGGGAAGACCACTGGACAAAAATTTATAAACGTCTGTGTCTTCATTTTTTTTAACAGTTTCATGAGGGGAAGGAGCTAAGATAGGAAAGAGAGAGTGTTGCCATGACTCCATGAGAGAGTGTTGCCATGACATGAGAGAGCGCTGCCATTATTCTCCAAAAGTAGGAGAATAATGAACATAATTCTATTATGGACTAGATGACTAGAGCATTGAGGAGACCAGAAGCTGAGAACTTTCAGAATTTGCCAGTTWTGAAAATGTTTTCTCCCTGAACTGAGGTGGAAAAGCAGCAGGATTTGAGAGTTTTTACAGGAAAGGATTTAAAGAAAAACGAATTTTTTTTTTTTTTCTGACTTGTGTGCTGGGCAGGAGCTGCAGGAGTTTGAATGGGCAAGACACTTCCAATCTGACAGCTCAGGGCTTGATTCCCTGTCAGATCCTTACAGAGACAGCGATGCCACCCTATCTTTTGCATTCCAGCCCCATGGGGAGRAACACTTTGTTTCTGTTGCCCTGTTAACTCTTCCTAGTACTAGAAGCCAGAGCAGCATGGAGYAAACTATCCCAAGAATGAGGAATATCCCAATTCTCTGTGAAAGAGCTGGGAAAGAAAGGAGCTGAGTGCCAGGTGGCAGGTCTTGTCTTCAACACAATCTGAAGGTTTTCTGTTCAAATTTAATTTTCTGCCCAGAAAGTGAAGTTTGTGAAGGTTTTACAGAATTCATATTTCCATATTCAGTACAGGAAATTAACTTATTTTTTTAAAAGCAAATTACAGGAAAATTAAAATTACAGGAAATTAACTTTCTTTTGAGGGGGGAGGATAGTCAGAGGAGATGCTGAGAGCAGGGGTATGAACMAGAGAAGAGAGCTCTTTAATCTAATGGATAGTCTTGGCACACTACTGGAGGATGTACACTGGCCATGAATAAATTTCATTTTACAACTTAAAGACCACTTTTTAACCATCTGAATGCAAGGCTTTGAGACAAACTCCTAATAAGAGCAGGGATAAAAACCATTAACTAGTTTTATGATTGGAAGATGCAGGGTCTACAAGAAGGTGCCTGCAGTAGCAGAACATGGCATTTTCCAGAGGTATCTCCCTGCCCATTGTTTCTGAGTCAGTCCCCAGGCACCTGGCGAAAATTCCAGGACACTTTAGCATCTCCAGAAATACAGCATTTAATAAAAGGGTTTGAAAATAGACAGGCAAGGAATYCTCCCACTTTAATGTGCAGGATGCATCCTTCAAATAATGCCATCAAGTGCTCTGGTTCCCAAGCTCTTCACCCAGCCACAGGGACAGATGACAGGAGGATACAGGGATGAGGTGTGGGAGGTGCCTTGGTTTATGGGGACCTCTCCTGCTGATCTCATGTGCAGCTGAAGGCGTGAAAGGAAGAGAAGCCAGCCCTGCCTCTGACTAATTCTGCCTTGACAAAGAGACAGTCACTCGGTGCTTCCAAAGAATTACAGCAAGAACARAAAAAAGTTAACATTTCGGGAAGAGAATAACATCCCACATGATATGTCTTGGGCCCAGTGAAGCTGTGATAGTTGGTTTTAAAAGAGGGAGAAGTTGGTCTTCATCTGATTTAAGCTAAGACTGCCAGTCAAAGCCAAAGCCATGTAAATACCCCTACTGTAAATTAGCATTAGGCTCTCTGAGGCACTGACAATGTTCCATTTTAGTGATTTTTGTAATGAGAAGGAGGGGAATAATGTGGATTTATTTAATCTGGTGAATGTTGGTGCTGTAGAATGACAGTTGCTCTCTGTCAGCATTGTTGAGCTGTGGCGTTGTGGCATCCAGAGAACACCCATTGTGCGTTTTACCCACAGAGCTGCCATTGTCACCACTGCATTCTGTCCCCCCACTTGTTTGTACGGCTGGCTGGTACAACACACTTGCTAAAAATATTGTGCTGTTAAATATTACATGAATACTTAGAGGCATCCTAATTCATACTCACTCTTTTGCTAGCGTAGCTGAAATCCTGTCAAATGCCAAATCCAATAAAAAAATACAAAGAAGCACATTAGCATGGTAAAGGTTGTATGATAAAGACAAAGCATTTAGGAAAAATGAACTTAAATAAAATCWAATTCAGTATTCAGAGTGCATGGGTGAGGTTTTAAGAATGTAATACTTATTCTATTTCATTCTGTAATAAACTATTGATATATTTCTATGGCATCCAAAGCCAGCTGAAACCTTTAAGGAAAAGAATAAAAGTTTTATTTGTCTTGGGATATTCAAATTTCAGCATAATGGAACAATATATATTGAGAGTCAAACTGACAAAGAAAGAGAAATTATGGTGCTTGGGTAGAATTAAGTCTGTACAGCTGAAATTAACTAGGTGTTTCTAATCCGATTTTTTTTTTTTAATATTATATTAACACATGGCCACTGCAATGATACTGAAAATACCAACTTCAATGTGACAAAAGTTCCTGTATTAAGGAGTGAAAAAAATTGTTGTGGCAATGCAGAAGGTACCATATAWATCACATGTAGTTCACACATACATCTCCCCCTGTATATCCGCTGCAAAAATGTGTAGGGTGTATTACAACAGATGTATTGTTGGGCTCACTTGAAAATAAACTYCAGTGCATTTCCAATGGATATGTGTTTGTCTCTGAAGAGAAGAGTAAAAYCTCAGGAATTCATGCATTTTTCCTACAGCAAGCGAATATGTAGATAAGAGGTATGTTTGAAGTACGTTGTAGTTTGAAGTGCCTCAAGCTGAAGTGCCCCTTTAAGGAAGCTTGCTGGGCTGCTTTGTAAAAGTACTAAATAAATAACACTTCCATTTAGTGTGCTGGTGACCTGGATAATAGATGTAAGCTTGTGCTTTGCTATATCTGTTCTGATGCAGCTGCTGGCTCCTTGGAGGTATCTGTTTTCAGTGGAGCATTTTGAGTGCTCAGTGTCCATCAATTAAATAGAGCTCTCCACACAAAGCTTTACAAGACTAATGCTACCATGCCTGGAATGTGTGGATTAAACAAAAGATTGGAGCAGTGTAAACATCCTCCTAGGGCTTATTGATGCTGTATTAAATTAAATGCTGATGGATGTATTCAGACTGCTCAGCTGCATCAAGAAAGGCTGTTTGTTTTAAACACTTAAGCATATAATCTCCTCTTGATGAGAACATGTAGTGCTATTAGTCTTAATGAGAATTATGTGCATACATTGGACAGGACGTATCCCTGCAAGATTAATGCCATAGGTCTGTATAAAATGTCTGCAATCAATATAAACTCTTTTACTGTGCTGTGAAAGCCTTTATCTCCATCTTGGATGCCCTGTATCAAGCACCCCCACTCATCTGTCTGTATCAGGGCATGTCCACAAGCACTCATTACTGCCAGACGAGCAAGACAGTGGCTTTACAACACGTCAGCACCTTAGTGGTGACAGCTCAAGCTTGTGGCAGAGCTGCTGGCAGACACAGCAAACCCCTCTGGGCTGTCCAAGAGGCATAACCTCACCCCACTCACCCAGTGGTCCTCATCTGCACCAGCTGCTCTGACCTGGTGTCCTTAATGTCCTTAATGTCCTTAGTGTCCTTAGCTGAATGGTGGAAAATAGGGACTATAGGTTAGCAGATCTCCAAGAAACCTGGAGGTAAAGCAGGGGGTTAAATCTAGACAGCCACACCTCCTCCTTGACCAGTGTCTTTCACATCTTTCTACTGGAAGACCACCAATACAGACAGGTCCCATCAAGGGAGGACAGCAGAATTTCTTGATCTGGAGAAAATTGTGGGTATGAGGGTAGTGCAGAACAGATGTAGTCATCTGAACCTGAAAAATAATAGTTGAGCCTGCCTTGCTGCTACATCTTGTAATTTCACTCATTGCAAACCAGGACTTCCCAGCACACCTGTAAAGTTTAAGCTCATGTGTTTAAAAGTGCTCTGTAATAGAGTTCTGACTAACCCTTTTATAATGTGGCAAACAAAATGTATGCCTTTCCAGATGCATAATTCATCTGTTTAGCATTTCATCCATTACAAGTATCCATATTAATTTTTAAAATTGTGATGTGCATTTCAGAATAAATGGTATAGCTAAATGCCTTAGCATGCCTATTTAAATTCAGATCTTTGCTATAAATAGATAAGCAAAATATTAAGACATTAGAAGACACCAGAAAAYAAGGCAGCTTTCTTACTAGCTAATCACTATAGATATGTTGGTTCAAGACATGCAAAATTTGGATGTTTACTCTGATTTTTCCTACTACTGRTCTCCTGAGKATCATTGGAAATTTATGTTAYTTCTCTRTGCCTCTGTTTCCCCAAGTGGGGATAAAAAAATGGTTCATACTCCTKTGCACTGATCTGCAAATGAAAATACATCATCAGTACAAGTTATTAATAGCTTAGTTTCAGTGAATAAATGCACTAAATGCAAGAAATATGTTACTAACATGGTTTTTTATCCAACATTAAAACAGTATGTTTGAGATGGTACACTGCAGATATGGATGCTATAATCATCAGCCCCATCCCCCCAAAAGATGCAAGCAAATAAATTATTTGCTAACACATAAAGAAACTGCCATTCCTCATAGATATACTGTAAAGCTGGTAGCAATATATTCTCGTTTAAGCCTTCCAAATGCTTTCAKGTTGTTTTTTCTTGTCAGGTTGCACACAATAAATCTGACTTAGAAATCTTGTCTTACTTCAGTCAAAATTAGGGTGGTTTTAACCAGATTTCTCCCTCTTTTTCTAGATGGTGACAAGGCTGATATTTCTGCCAATATTTATCCAGACATAAACATCATTGCTGGAGCACTGAAGCTCTACTTCAGAGACCTACCAATTCCCGTGATCACCTATGACACCTATTCCAAGTTCATAGAGGCAGCAAGTWAGTATTGCATAGCCATTTGTACCAATCTTCATTTACATTTCYTGTCCATGAAGCTGTCCACATTAAAAGAAAGGACAGAAAAAAAAATTGGAAACATGGGTGCTGTCTTGTTCATTCCTTCTCTGACATGTCCTTCATTCACACAAAACTTTTGCCTGATTGTTAATTCCATGGGATATCATGCAGGTTAAAAAAATAAAAGTAAAGGTATGGTATCAAAATAACCAATTTGCATCAGAAAGTGTGGATAGTGTCTTTTTACATGTGAAGATAAAAAATAGTGTCAATCCTGGTCAGATTTTTAGAGAGATTGCCAAACAGTTTTAAATGAGCCCTGATGCTCAGTATAGGTCGATATCACTGAAACCTACACATTTAAATACATTGAGAAATCTTGAAGTAATTCCATGCCATTTCAATCTCTATCTAAATCTACATACTCAACAGAGTCTCTTAAATTCATATATCCACACTCCCATCTGGTTTTGAAGGCTAATGGAACTAATCTTTTGTAGGATTTTAAAGACAATTCTGGGCAGAGAAATATTATAAAACACCTAACAAAAGCTCAGGTACTGTATGTGTACAGACCTGTATATAGAGCTACAGWCCATGGAGATAACTCCTGGGTGGTCTTTGTTGCTGATTTMTTAGTGCAAAGCCYTTTTTTTTTTTTTTTTGAGGATGTAAAAGTCGCTGATAAGCGTCACATTTATGAGTGCAATATTTATCCTTCCAAGCACAGTCAATGGCTTGTAAATTATTCCATAATAATAAGTTATCTTCCTGATTTATTGCTGTGTACACATGGAAAGCCCTATTAACATTAATCCTGTTTGGTGTTTTTACAGAAATCTCTAATCCTGATGAACGACTAGAAGCAATACATGAAGTGTTGATGTTACTCCCTGCTGCTCACTACGAGACGCTTAGATACCTAATGATTCATCTCAAAAAGTGAGTTAATTGACACACAGGGTATTTCTTGAAGAGCTTAACAATTTTCTGCTTTGAAAGAGAAACATGACAGAAAATACTAATAAAGCTTCCATTAGGGCACTGCCACTAAACCAATAATGTCACAGATAAGCAGACAAGCTGTTCGTGTAAGTGCTTACAAGCTGTGCACTTCCATAGCATAGATCCTTTTGCTGGCATATTACTGCAGACCTTTCAAGAGTTAATTGACATTTGTCATGCTTCTCTGAGGCAGGTAATATCTGAAAATATTCAGAGATGTGGTGAATGTGCTGCTGAGGTGCTTGACCATGCTTTGTTTCTTCCCCCTCTTGCCTCCTGTTTTGTCTTCTTGAACAATAACCCTAAAAGGAAAGAGCTACCCCTTATGAGTTATTTGCTCACATCACAGTAAGCCAAGAATCAAGCAGGGCCTATTTTTATGTGACTAGTAAAAGCAAAACAGGTCCCAGTTACATCTCTCTTGGTTTTAAACATGCTCTGCCTCATTTGCTTTCCAAAAGCTCACTTAGACATACATAAGATATACACGAGGGGCTTCATAAAGCTTCATAAGGCATTCAKAATTTTCAAAAGTGCCTAAATTTAATTTTTTTAATTACTTAGGAGTATACTTCCAAGTTTTCCAAGTTTTCAGCTAGGTACCTATGAAAACTAAGGACTGCTTCAGRGAGGGTGCCCCACTTCCACTAATTTCAAGCAAAACTGTTTTTCAAAACCATGCTAACTCTGCTGCTTTGGGTACTTACATGCCTCAAGAGGTCTTCCTTGTAAGTATTTAAAAACTGAAGCTGAGTAGAGACTGGCACTGTCATCTCAAAGCAGGCCTTCATTTATGGATATATTGCCCAAGATTTTCCTTGTCTCTGGTTAAACTTCGTTATTTGGAAACAGCAAAAAAGGGGATAAGGGAGGAATAAAGCTACTGACCTTATATTCAGAAAATCCTTATCTCTTCTTAGTTGTCCAACTACTTTCAACACAGTTGTAAATGCGGAGTGCTTTCTGGTTTCACCTGAACTATTCTGCACTGTTAATGCCAGCCTAAAAAGAAAAATAACTCAATTCACATGAAGCTGCACCAGATAACGTGCATGAAGTGCATTTCATGCTCTATCAGGTTCTCATTATGCAGAGACTTTCCCTCATTTTGAATTGGCTCAGRTCATTACAGTTGATTCATTTTTCCCCTTGATGAGACATTACCTGGGCMTGCAGGAGCTTCTTTGGACTCTGCAGAAATGAGGGGTGCAAATACCCACCCTTGTCAGGACAYTCACATGGACAACTGATGATGACTCGTTGGCTTTTTAAAGAAGGCCCACGGAGGCAGTTGACAAGTGACCTGCACACAGAACCACTGCTTTCACATCCTGGCAGCAAATTTTTAATAGACATATATGGACTTGCCTTCCTTCTTCTCATGAACTGCAGTCCAGGTTTGGTTCAGCTGTTGAGCTGAGCTACTGATGAAGCAAAGAGTCCAAAGTGCTGATAAAGCTTTCTCCCTCAAATATCTACAAATCAGGCAATGAGTTTCCTCTCCATTCCCAAATTGTAGCTTTTGGTATCTGCATGGAAATCAAGTGCATGACAGTTCCCATGCGGATTCTGTTGGAGACATCTGAATGTGAAAGAGGGAAGAATCATTAAGGTTCAGACTATGCTGTTCTGTAGATTAAACACAGAGTTCCARCTTCATCCCCTAGGGCTCTTCCTGCATGGATAAAACCAGAATAAGGGAGTCTATGAAAACACTGCAGGGTCACAGCCTCTACACCACTGCTGTTTCTCAAYTGAAAAGAAACTGCAGAATTTTTGTTAAAAGTGCAGAAAAATCCAGCAGACGACAACATCAGCAATGAAAAATTAGTTTGTTGGTCAATTAATTATCTTTCTGATAACTTCTTGCTCAAAATTGAAGGAAATGCAATAGCATGAGTAGTCCCCCCTGTGGTGAAATACATAAAACTCCATCCAGACACTGCAGTCAAGCTCTGAATCTTCTGTGTTCACCCCAGCTGTGCAGAAAGCCCTGCACTCCGGAACAGAGGTGCTAGAAAGAGCTGTGTAGCTTTGCACAGCTGTTGAACATCTGTGCTGTGCACATCCACAGAGGGAAAAGAGAGTGTCAGACACTTGCACAGAGGTGGCTTGGGCTTGGCAGCCTTAGTTTGTCTTTGCTCCTTGCAAAGCACAGCAAATATATCYGTGCTAGAAGATGAGGATGTATCAGTGAGTAGGGGCACTCTGTCCTGGAAGCAAAGAGGAACAGCATTTCTCTGTGACAGAGCCATTCTTTGCAGAGATGACAGCAGAAGCAAAGCTGAGCCATGTGAGTTCCTTGCCAACAAGGGAAGACCAAGCTATTTCTGGTTTCAGCCACTCTGTGCTCCCCTGATGGCATGAGTAAATCCACTCACAATGCCCAGCTGGGAATGGCCATGCCTAGGGAAGCTTTCAGCTGTTGCCAGGAGAGCTGTCTCCAAAACCAGATGTGTTTCACCCTGGCAGAGGAGYTGTGTGATGAAGATGTGAAACATCATCCGGGCTGCACTCACCACAGCAAAGGTGTGGTCCATGACTGTGACTGATGGAGGGACTGTGGCTGTCCTGCACTGCAGTGCAAGAGTGCTCTCAGCACTGAACTCAATATGCCACTCAAAAGCAACAACACTGATGTGATCCAGCACTGTGACCTGGAGGGAAACCTTGAGCACACCTTGCATTTTTCAGCAGGTCTGACTGATTTTCCAGTCAGGGCTGACTTCCCTGCAGCTTGGCTAAACCTTGGTGGTCTTTGCTCCAGCCACAAACAGTTCAACTATTCTTCTATTAACATTATATGACCTGTGCCAGCAAACAAAGCAGTGTGGGCTCTTCCCTAGAAGTGCYTCTGTTCTCTAGCAAGGATAGATGGCATTTACAGCAGCCAGATTTTAGCAAGCTGCCTCTCCAGGCAGGTCCAGGATTCAGCCTACTCTCAAAGTGTAACAAAATAGTGAGAATTGCTCAGCTGCTGGGTACCATGAGGCAGCCAGCAAGGCAGAACATCTGTGTGAAGGAGTGGGCTCCTGCAGGCTGAAAGCATGTCTGGGATCATCAATAGTTTAAGGAAAATAAATCCGTGCTTGCATTTGTGGAGCACACCCACACTGCCTGTGGGATGCACACCAAGCACAACCTGCCAGAGAACTGCAGCTCCATACATCATCATTTAAATCATGATTATGCTTTTAAAAAAGCACTTGCCACTAATTCTTATACGCTACCAGACAGTCACATGGAAAAATCACTGAAGAGGCACATGAGAGGTGTTTAAATGTGCTAAAGATCACAGCCCCACCGTAGTTGCATTGTATTTGTGGAAACAGTTATTCTATTGAGATAAATTTAAATTGTTACTGAAAAATGTCATTACATACCAGTGCTTGATGTAAAGCAAGACTACAGATAAAAATGCAGATATTCTTTTTTTTTTATGGGGAGTAAGCAACTAATTGCTTTCTTTTTTGGTTTTTTTTCCTTATTTTAGGGTTACCTTGCATGAAAAGGAGAATTTTATGAATGCTGAAAACCTGGGAATWGTGTTTGGACCTACTTTAATGAGACCCCCAGAGGACAGTACCCTTGCTACACTGAATGACATGCGGTACCAGAAGTTAATTGTGCAGATTTTAATAGAAAATGAAGATGTTCTCTTCTAGTCTGAGAGGCATATCTTCAAAGCCATTTGTTTTAAGATAATTAGTCTGAAGGAAAAACAAAATTTCTTTAAATTTTTCTAAACATAAAGGAAGAGTTCCTTGACTGCACTTCAATTTCTGCAAAGTTGCAGATGGATGCCAAAATGTTTAGGGAAAGCCTATGTCTCATAGACATATGCCTCTTTGTAGAAGGGAAAAAGAAGGTCAGAAAAAATCCTCTTACCTTGTATCTTTTGCCTTGCCTCAGATGTATATTTGTTTTGAGAAGTTTCAAACAATTTTATTGTTAACTTATTAAGAAACACAAAACGTATTTTAATATGGYTAGAGAAGCAAAAAGGTACTTAATCAGTGTTACTTGTATACGCCTATACATTTCCTTCTTCATGAGACATAATTGTATATGTCAATTGTGAAACAGAACCTATATTATAAAGATATTTTTACTTTACCTAGCTGAAAGAATGGCATTTTATTTTAGCAAACTATAAATCAATGCGGTGCATTGATTATTTTCACGTAATTCTTTCCTGCATTTTTGCTATGATATATTGAAAACAATGGCCACTAATGCAGTATTATCCTGACATACCTCTTCCATTGCAAGTGTTTTAAAGGAGAATACCTTTCTTGTGCATATTTCAGCTTTCCTTAGGTTTCTTTGCATTTAGGCACTAGCATCCTAGGATTGTACACTTTCAGCCATTTGCTATTTCCCAAAACATACAGTATTTTCTCTTTTTTTTTTTTGTTTTTTTTGTTTTTTTCTCCCATGTAAAATGCAGTATTAAGAATTTTTCAAAAGTCCTGGTGGTAGTATCAGTTTCAGATGCCAGATTTTTCTTGGATTACAGTAATATATTAGTTAAGTGATGCTGGGACACTGGATATTTTCTGGCCTTGTTGAAAGTCAGCACTTTTTTGGGTGAATGATGAAGGATTTGGTTTTTCTGTAAAAATTGAATTATGTTTTGTCATGTTTCTCTATTTATAAATGTACAGTAAATCTGCTAAAATTGTAGGTATTTATCTTGAATGTGTTTCCTGATGGTTTGTTTAAAAAAAAAAAAAAAAAGAAATAAGAAAGAAAGAATGCGTAGGACATGTGGGAGCTGGTAAATTTAGTTATTACCAATTTTTAATATTTTTCTCCCCTCACAAACATTGACCTACAGAGTTCGTAGTCTAACTGCAACTTATTCCTAATGTTAAAACAGTTTCTCAGCATGACATGTTTCTGCAAGCATAGAAAATCAACATATACTAGCAAACTCAATTTTCAACACACAAAAAAAAAAATCTAATACTCCCTTATCTTGATCATTTGTATCATATGCGTGGTAACTCAGTGATGCAGTTTCCTGAATTATTTCAGGGAGCACATGTTTCTATTCAAATTGAAAAATATGTGTAACTATGATAATGAAGAGAGGTAGAGGGTATGACTGTAAATTTGTCGTCTTCTAGAGAAATAACTAAGGGCTAGATAGATTAACCGAGATTGCAGAGCAAGTGCTAAATAGTCTGAGTTCCCAATACTTCCATAGATCCTCCTGCCTTGTACAGGACTATTTGTTGTAGGTTATGTACTACTTAATACTGTCATAAAAAAAATGATCTGGAAATGGTTTTATTTTGTGAAGTGAAATATGCTTTGTAATTTATGATAGTGTAAATGGAAGGAAAAATCCCATTAAATGTGTTAAAAGAGTTTTGGTGTCTGTCACTGACTACACGGCAAGCTGCCAAAAGAAAATCAATCACTAATTACCATTCTGACATTGCTGKAAAGTTTCTTGCTCAAAAATTTACAAGAGTTTTACTGCATGTCAAAGTTTCAGGTTGTCACTTGGTTGCCCATACTACCACAGCCAAGCCCGTGCACACATTTATTTTCTGAGCCTACCCTAAGCCACCTCTACAGAAAACTTCAAGCAAGCAATGCATCACAGCATCAATCTAATCAATATCCAAGAATCAATGCCATCAGAGCACTTTTCCACCCTCTTGGACACAGACATTTCACTAACAATGAATTTCTTTATTTTTTTCTGGTCAGTTCACTTACAATTTGTTTTTTCACGGCAGCACATGAGTAGCTGTAGCATGTCTCACCGTCTGGAGTCTCCAACACATGTCCCATATTCAGGATTTGATGACAGCACAAGGCAATGTGCCTAGAAGCACCCATGCTTCGTGTCTGGAGAGCAGAAGTTTCTARTCTGTTGGACAGAGGGATKAGTATGATTCTGCCTCTTACAACACAAATATCTACTAAATTGTTGATGTTTCACTTGGCTGACTGATCAGCTGGCRTCCAGCATCCTTGGGGAAGATTGARCACAGAGCTAAAAGGACCCTGTCCCCTCCACACCTCATTAGTGCCACCTTGTGCTGCTCCTGCTTCATCTCTTGTGTCAGACTTGCTGTGGCCGTCACAGCAACCTGGGATTGAGCTGCACGGCTGAGGTCAGACCTTTCCTGTTTCAGATTCACCATTTGAGAAGGTAAAAAGGCAGCAAACGTCTCTGTGCAAAACTGACTGCTAAGACAATAGAAAAATCACATTTACCTTTAATGGAAACCTATACTCCTGTACACAGGATTAAGAATAAAAAAGAATAAAAATAAAAAAAAAAATCTGACTGGATTAAACTAAATCCTTCCCTTTGCTTCAAAGCATTCAAAAGCAAGAGCACATCTCTTATCTCACATGAGGCACTAGTAGAGAGTAGTAAGAGTCCTTTCAAAGATGCTCCAGGAGACTGTGTGTGAGCTCATGTCACTCCTCTGCTAGGTCACTTTATCTCGAGTAGAACACAGGTCTGCACCTCCAGGTTCCACTCCAGCTATTGGAGAAGGGCTTTTGGTGAAGCAGCAAGTCCCCTCCTATAGCCACCCACTCCCGATTCCCATCTGCCATTCAGCTGTCCCCATGTTCTGGGTGCCACTCTGTACCCATCACAGCTACTGGGGTGAGACAATTTGCCTTCCACAAAGCAGAAGTGTCTTAGATCAGTGAAACATTACATCAAGTTAYGTTAATAGTTTGCAAGGTGTAGCTTTCCAAAGTGCCGTGGAGCAGCTGAAATCTCTTCTTTATGCTCACCGTTGTGAGACTCACTGTGGTCAGGTTGAAATATTGGGAACCCACCAGGGAACTGAGCAAAGGAATTGTTTTCTGATACCACCACACTGGACAAGGCAGCACTCTCTGTGTCTGACCCCAAAGCACACATGTCCTGGAAGGGCATCGCACAGGGAACTGTCAAAGGGTTTCCTCAAATGAGACTCCCATTTGGGGCTCCTCCACCCAGAGAGCCATCACTGTGAAACCACAATCTCCCTCTGCTGTCAAATACTACTGGAATTGGGCAAAGGATCTGGGAAGATGAGTTTGTGGGGAGAAGGGGAAAGAGAAACAAAGTGCATAGCATGGAAAACTTTTTTAACATGAAGTTACAAAGTGCAAAGAAGGCAGAGCTTTGTTCTCAACTGTGCTTTGCAACCTGGGGTCAGTTTAAGCCACAAAACAGTCTAACAGAGCACAAATCTGGTTGAATTGATACCATAATCATTTAATTTCTTAATAAGAGGTAAGACTACACTTTCCCCCACGGTTAATGTTCTCAATGCTCACACAACATTTGAATCTTACTGGCAGAGACAGTTGGCCTAAGACTCTGAGAACTGACTGCAGGGACACTTGGCCTAAGACTCTGAGAAGGAATGTATCGGTTTTGGGATCTCTTCTGAAACAAGATTTTTGACAGACCTGAGCTGTGTATTACTGCCAAATGACAGACACAGGAGGGAGAAGTGATGACAGGTATAATAATAATAATTTTGCTCTAATTAAGCGAAACTCTGGTCTTGGGGAAGTGCTGGGAATACCTGGAGTAATAAACAGCTGGGCTGAATCATAGAATCACAGAATCATAGAATCATAGAATAGTTTGGGTTGGAAGGGACTTTTAAACATTACCTAGTCCAGCTCCTCTGCAACCTCCCTGCAGGAGCCTGTCTGGCCATCTTCTTATCTCTTTAAAAGTACAGAGTGAAGTGCTGCAGAAAAGAGAGCAAGAATATTCCAGTGCCAACAGACCCCCTACCAATAACCAGGGACTGAAAACACAAAACCTCTTGAGTAGGGAGGTAATGCACATACACTCAGGCAAGAAGAATGCCATCTAACTGGATTTTCAAAGCAGAATTACTCTGCTATCCYGGCAGCTATCTAAAGGGAATGAAGAGACTATACGGCTCATGGAGATAAGGGTGAGAGCATCAATGCGCTTTATGTTCTTTAGCTGTAGAGATTAATTCCTTGATTAAAGTAACAATAATRGTTAAGAGTCAGAAATTTGAACCTCAGGGAACTAAGATTATTGCTGAATGCTCTAGGGCTTGCAGATCCAGGATATCAGTAGATCTTATAATGGGGGCCATATTTTACATTATCTTTGGCTAAAGGCATGGTGTTCTGAATATAATTATGCTGATGCTACAGGTAGTGCTAGGACTGGGAGTTCAAAGCCTGAAGGWCAGGGATTGCTGCAGGATGTTTCAAGGACTGCAGCTAGGAAGAAAGTTTGTGTCAGATGGAGCAAGTGCTTTGAAAGGTATAGCAGAAATTAGCAGCTCCTTGTAAGCAGAGAAACTATCAGGGTTCAGTTTACAGCAGATTTGGGGATGACACAAACCAAGGTTGCCACTGGAAGTTGCTTTAATTGCAGAACAATATGTGGGTCATAATATTGTCTCTTTTCTTGAGAGTATGAGCTATTTGTTACCACTAAAAAGAAGGTTAGAATGAGGACTAGGGTTAGATGTAGGATTTGGAACTGTAGATCTGAAAGAGCATAAATTGCTGCCAGCCATATTTGAAGATACCTTAATTTCTGTTCTACTGTGGGCACATATAATGATCAATGTGCAAGAAAATCCACATTAATTACCACATGCTGCTGTCCAAAAACTTAAGGAGACTGAGCTCCATAGGTATCCGTAACATCCACAGGTAACAGGTTCAGATTTGGAATCCAAATATTGATGAACCAGTATTGTCAGTGCAGCCCTCAGAATTAGGAGTAGGGATGATGTCAATAAGGGACTGCTATTTATGTAGGGGTTTTAATTGTTACAGACATGAGTGTCACAGACACAATTAAAATAGGAGAAAAGTCTAAATCTAAAGCCTGAAGGACTGAGTGGTTCTCAAAGCTGTGACAAGTGCAGCACATTAGGTATCACTAATGGTCAACTCGGATTTTCCAGTCAATGTGTGGATCATCTGGTTAAGAATAGGGGTATTGCATGAACAGACTGTTTTGCAAGGCCTGCAGAGCTAGGAAGGGTACTGATGTCAATAGCCACCATATATATCCATATTTTTCTGATCTGCTGAAGGAACAGAACCTTTGTTTWATCTTCTTTATCAATATGAGGGTAAAAGAGAAGACAAATTTTAAGAGTTTGGGATTCAAAGAATCAGGCTGAATTTGCTGCTGTAAAAATGTAAGAACAGGACTGGTGTCAGAGGCTGGCTGGGAAGTGAAAATTTGACTAGCTGTGTTTATGGTCTGTTTTGATGAAGTTTTGGGCCTTCCTTATGTTATGAGTGTTTTAGGTAAAGTTTCAGAATCTGTTGAGTTCTGATTTATTCATGCAGCTGAACTTTTCATTGAATGAGGATGAGCACCAGCATTAAGCTAACGCCTTGCATTCCACCACAGGACCAGTTCCCTTCATAGAGCTACTTTAGGGCCCATGTAAGAAAGGATATTGTCTGCCCTAGTGCYGGAGGTAAGATCAGAAAACTTAAGGCTACATCTGTGCCTGTCAATAAAATGGACTCAAGGCAGTCATGCCTGGTCCATATAACATTTACTTAACTGAGGTCCTCTCAGGGGCCCATGATGTCACCTGTGGCCTTTGAGAGTCATTTTTTTCTAGAGCCACTGATTCAAAAATTGTGCAAGCGCTGTGTTTCAGCCCATCAAGCTGCTACTTTCATTCTCAGAGGCTGAGATGGTGCAATGCATGTCCTAGACTGTTAAACAAGGAGTGACTGTATACTGAAGTGTTGGAGGGTGCAAAACCTGCTGCGATAAAGCTATGGAGGGGGATAAATTTGTGTCATTTCATCCATTCTGCCTAAGCGGAATAATCCTTTGCTCTCCCCACCTTGAAACCATGCCTGGCTAGTGCACACACAGTGACAGAGGCCAAAATTTGAAATTATGCCAGGGAATCACCACTAATAGGTGAAATTCACAGGTGCAGGGTTCAAACCTATGCCATGGCTYKAAGTTTTTKKGGKKTTTTTTTGTTTGTTTTGGGTKTTTTTGGCAGGGCAGACATAGCCTGGTAATGAATGCTGCMGTTCCACAGTCTTGATCAGCAGCCTGATGTAAACAGAGAAAATGCTCTTGTCCATTGTAAAATGGATGGAGCCATTCTTGTGGTTATTATGGTAAAAGCTAAGATTTGAGATGCTGCTAGCACCTGGAAATTTTAATCTATGAGAAATTAAGTTAATTCTGGTTTCTTCTGAATTGGCGGCTTGATGCAGATGGGAAACAGTTCTTTGTGTGGTCTTTTCTGGTACACAGAGGTCCATTGGTTTAAATTAACATGACATTTAGGCTCTGAGACTTAGGAGTTCCAAGAACTGATTTTATGGCTGGATGCTAAAAGGGCCAACTTGTGCCAGCAGKTATCAGTGTTGCAATTTCTTTCTATGAGCCAATTGCTCAGCTGTATGTCAGGGCAGGGTTAAGAGTTTAATTGAAACTTGAAGATACAAACATGTTGAATATTGCTGGGAATATGGAGCTCAGCAGAGCTCTGCCCTCTGTAGGTACCAGGACCATATGCTCTTTTCAGCTGGCCTGAATATGTCCTTGGCCTTAAGGTTAGCATKTGAGAAACCCATGTTTCAAATACCCAGTATATTTGCTGGATGGTCTGGGGTTTCAGGGTAAATTAGACATCTGATATCATTATTGAGTAGTGAATTCTGTGTTTCTGGGAGTGCCATTGGGTCCCCTTGGAAATTGTAACGGCATTTAATATCAGAGTTTTGGAAACCAAAAGGTTCCTTGGWTCCTTGGAAGGCTAATGTCTGCAGTGGATGGTGCCTCTCTTGTCTTGCCAGTAGAGATGGGTCCCCTCAAAATAATTAGGTATGGGTGTGGTTTGGCAATCTAAGGTTTCCAGAGCCCAGTTTCAACTTGAGCAGAGCAGGGTCTCCACAGTTTGGAAAATTGAGAGAGAACTGCAACGAGCACCTTTTTTTTATTTTATTTTCACTGCAGTAACAGTYGTAAATAGGGGYTTAAAATAAGGTTAGTTTGAGGACTGACATTAAAGTTAGTCTTTGAGAATCTATATTTTGGAAATACTAGGATATTTCTGAGTTTTGGAGAGCCTGCAGAATTATGAAGAAACTTATGTCAATATGCTCCAATTGCACACAAAGGGAGCATGATATAATGTGAAAAAGGCCCTACAATTTTATTTTGCAGTGTACTGTGCCATCTGCTATGATCCTGCATATTGACCCTAAGTGGGACTACAAAACCCCACTGCTTTTTATCCCAGTTTCCTGCAAAGACAGGACAGAATTTAACACAGCAGTGTAATTAAATGAATATACTATCCAATTTCYGTGCTTTGAAATAGGCAGTATGTTATTTACTTTTCTTTTTAAATAAACACTGTAAATAAATGTATACTGAGGGAATGCAACGAGTACTTTTGCAGCAAGAAAGGAAGAGAGCATATATTTTCACTGTCAGAGTTGTTTTTATATAAACACTAACCTCATTGGCAATCTTGTGGAACAGCGTGTTGTGACTTTCAAAAGCAGAGCAGGTTTTGCTGTCCTCCTGCACCACCACATACTCATGCAAGCAGCATCCTCCCACTCCCACGTCTCTCAAAGCTTTCCAACCTGCCTCTGTCTTTTCAGTAGACTCTGCTTTCAGTACACTGTCAAAAACTAAAAATCTCTCATTCTAGGAGACTTTGAAATGGGTTTAACCAAAAAAAMCCACACTGATTTGAAGTAAGTTTGGAATTTTGTGAGCTAAGAGGTCAGAGGTCAGGTATATGGTAATTAAAATAAAATAAATAATAAATGTTTTGTATCAGCCTATTTGCAGAGTGAAAGCTATAAAAGACAACCAGTAATGGTTTTGTGGAAAGATCACTTAAAAATAAAAATTACCTTCATTTTTCCATAAATTCCCTATTTCCTAGGCATTTCCCTGGGACACAAGACAGAGAGAGATGCTGGTGTTCTCTTTCTCTACAGATACAAGTGAGTAGCAAAGCAATAKCTCATAGTCACAAGGAGAAACTTGACCCTGTGGTCTGCTGCTGTCCTTGGCCCAGGAAAGCCTGATGCCCTGGTGCTTTGTGTCTTAGAAAATGTTTGTTGCTTACCTGTTAGGGGGGAATGTGAAGGCCATCTTTTATCACTGGAAGTTAGTGTCTTATTCCRTAGGAGAATTATTTTGCTGTTAATTTTAATTAGTATGATAGACAGTTTCAAGTGTGTATGTTTCYCTATCCAAAAGCCTTTGCCAACCTACAGAGTAACATAAGTGCATGCCTCAGGCTCCTCTCCCCCAGTAACCTGCATTCACCAATTTCCATGCCTCTTATCTTTATGGGCTATTCAGGGAAGCTGCAAGTAGCAGAAGTTGATCTGCAAAAGAAGATGAGGCTGAAATATGATGCTTTCACAAGCTCTTCCACACTATCATAGGCATCCTGGAGTGGATGACTGAGTAGCTGATTGGAAGGATATAAG